CACACCCTTTGCCTGCCCCTCCTGATTCCTCTCTTCCTGCACTTGCCGACCCTGAGTCGGACTCTCTTCGTGCTGCCAGTCCTACTGTCACGCGTCTCCTTGCTACTGTTGTCACTGACCCTTCTTTCGAGTCTACTTCTGCGTCTGCTCTCGTTACTGAGCTCGTCGACTTTGCTGCTCGCTGTCGCTTAGACTACGCTGCTAGTCTTGTCGCTGAGTCTGAGTCTGTCTATCCTCCGTCCGTCGGGGGTGAGTGTGCCCTTGGCACGGACGTCCTTGAGGACAGGCAGGAGGAGTTCCAGTGTCTGGCAGCTGCTTCACCTCATCTCGTGTCCGTACTGCTTACCCCTGAGGGAGACCCGGATGCACTTGACATCCCGACTCCGCGCTCTTACGCGGAGGCGATAGAGGGTCCCTACTCCTCTCAGTGGCAGGCAGCTATGGATGCAGAGATGGCTTCCTGGAAGTCCACAGGCACCTATGTTGACGCTGTCCCCCCTCCTGGGGCGAACATCGTCAGTGGCATGTGGATCTTCAGGGTGAAGCGGCCGCCGGGTTCTCCGCCTGTCTTCAAGGCGCGTTACGTGGCTCGTGGCTTCAGTCAGCGGTAGGGAGTTGACTACTTTCAGACCTTCTCCCCCACCCCGAAGATGACCACTCTTCGGGTACTGCTGCACATTGCTGCTCACCGTGACTACGAGCTCCACTCTCTCGACTTCAGCACAGCTTTCTTGCAGGGCAGCCTGCACGAGGAGATCTGGCTGCGCCGCCCACCTAGCTTCACTGGGTCTTTCCCTCCTGGTACCCAGTGGAGTCTCCGGTGTCTAGTCTACGGTCTCCGCCAGGCGCCACGTGAGTGGCACGACACACTGAGGACTACGCTTGCGGCTCTTGGGTTTGCTCCTTCTACTGCCGACCCGTCGCTGTTTCTGCGCACCAACACCTCTCTGCCGCCGTTCTACATCCTCGTGTACGTCGACGACTTGGTGTTTGCCACAGTTGACACTGCTGGACTCGCCTACGTGAAGTCCGAGCTGCAGAAGCGACACACGTGCACAGACCTGGGTGAACTGCGCAGCTACCTTGGCTTGCAGATCACCCGGGACAGAGCACGCCGCACCATTACCCTGACTCAGTCACACATGGTGCAGCAGGTCCTTCAGCGCTTCGGCTTCACGTACTCCTTGCCTCAGGCCACTCCTCTGCCTACTCGCCACTCACTCTCAGCTCTGCCTTCGGATGAGTCCGTAGAGTCGAGTGGCCCGTTTGCAGAGCTTGTTGGCTGCCTCATGTACCTGATGACCTGCACACGACCTGACCTTGCATACCCTCTTAGCATTCTAGCACGCTATGTTGCTCCTGGGAGACACCGACCAGAGCACATGGCTGCAGCGAAGAGGGTGTTGCGCTACTTGTGCAGTACGTCGGGCATGGGGCTAGTGCTTGGAGGGCGGAGTCCAGTGGTCCTCACTGGGCACGCGGACGCTTCTTGGGCTGACGACCAGGCTACGCAGCGGACGTCACAAGGTTACACCTTCAGTCTTGGTTCCGGCTCTGTTTCGTGGCGGGCTACCCGCTCGTCCTCTTTTCTCGGCTCCTGTTGTGAGGCTGAGATCTACGCCGGGGCTATGGCTGCCCAGGAGCTTCGCTGGCTCACCTACCTGCTGACCGACCTTGGACAGCCGCCTCGTTCTCCTCCAGTCCTGTACGTAGACAACAAGGCCATGCTGGCCTTGTGTCGAGAGCAGCGACTGGAGCACAGGACAAAGCACATTGCTCTCCGTTACTTTCTTGCTCGTGAGCTACAGCAGCGTGGACAGTTGCGGCTTGCGTACGTGGCCTCTGAGGCCAACACTGCTGATGTTTTCACCAAGGCACTTGCGCCTTGTAATCATCAGCGCTTCTGCACTCAGCTGGGTCTTGTGCCTGTCTTGCCTCACTTGCTCACTTCTTGACCTTGCTTGTACTGTCACATATATATAGTCCTTCTCTTACTTGCTTAGCCTCGTATATATATATATATATATATATGTATGTGCTCTTGCATGTGAACTGGCCTTTTGGCCTTTGAACTTGTGCTCGGAATGTGTGGTGACTTTGTGATCCACCCTGAGCTTTGCTTTGCTTTGCTTGACTGGTCTTTTGACCCCTTGTTCTCCCCCACTTTGCCTATGGGGATGTGTCAGAACATTATAGCTTATGCTATTGTGTTGGCTATAGTGGGGTATCCCATAGGGGGTACAACCCAACTAGGGTTTCATATTTTTACTCGCTTCGTTCATAGTTCACATCATTCTCGTTCTAATCTTCTCATTCGACGACCTAGCTCGCTTGCCTCTTGCTACATCCCGCGTTAGGAAGTAGTAGATCGCTCGCCTTCTGAATAAGTTCCAACCATAGAGTACACTACAACCATGGAGTCCCTAGTTCAGTGAGTTACTACTACAGTACTCCATAGGACACCGAAGAATAGTATCCATGACCAGGTTCCAGCGTTTCTCCTGTCAGTTTTGGTCTGGTGAAGGGTATATAATAGCCTCCTCGCGAAAACCTATCGTGTGGTAACACAACCTTCGCCAACTCCAGCACTAGCCGTTGGGAGGGAGGGGAATTCTCCATCCACGATTGATGGGTGGAAAATCCAAACCAACCAGCTAGACTCACCCCATCCGAGTCGCAAATGGAGGAGGAATTGGGGGAGGAACCGACCAAACCGAAACCCACGGATCCATCTCTGAGGGCGCGGTACACAGCTATTCAAGAGCTGTTCAAGATAGAAATGACGAACAATGCGTTCAGGCAAGTTTGAACCGGGTTCATACAAGGTTGTGAAAAAAATCTGGTCAAAATAAACATTTTGGAACATGTTACAAAAGCTGGACAAGACGCGCAAACTTCTTGACCAGCCTAGGTACAACCTACCGTAGTAAACAGGGTAACCACAAATCAAGTCTTGAACAGCGCTTGCTCTGTATCACGCCCTAAGTCGAACACTGAGTTTTCATTGCACGATTAATCGCAAGGAACACACAAACCGCGATTCGTCAGAGGACGTATACGCGCATTCGTGAGATTCCATTTTACGTTTGAAGCAGGATGTACTCAGCACTGAGCTTGTGATGTGCCCACCATATCAAACACTAGCATGGTGAATAGTAATAAAGAACAGTGCTTCAAGACAATGCACATATATTCAAGTGGTAAATGCATCAATGTGATATGACATGCTTGAATACAAATCGTTTCATGACCTATTCATACAAATGATTTCCACACACATTTTATTACCAAGTCCGCATTTGTTTTTAAATATATGCAACCAATCACGGTATGGCATGAATGATCAATCTTTTAAACCCTTATGTGGGATTAGTAAAATTAGATTTAATGGCTGGAATAATTCGACGGGTGGCACGAGCACGCAGGAGCAGCAGCACAGCCTCACGTTACTCCCCGAGGGTTTTTAGGGCCGACATAGCTTTCTAGAGGCACTCTGAGTCATACAAGGTCGAGTCAGACGTTACCGCGTATATTTTCAAGTAGCTGGGTTATTCATGAAACGAGTACGGCTGGGAGATCAAGTGGTCTGATCGGGTCGTAATCTAAACGCCATAATGGCGAGCTGGGCCTGTCAGACGGATTGCGGCCTACGGGATATACCTCACTTGTACCTGAAAAGGCGGTGGTCCGACTAAGAAGATATTAGAACTAGCACTAGTAGCGGATGGGGAACCGAGACCGAGACCGAGACCGGGAACCGAGACCGAGAACCGAGTACGACAACTGTGGTATCTAGTAGTCACGAGGGTAAGTTGTACGACTCGGCGGCCTCCTCCCAAAAGGATGACCTAATCGCTTATTGTTTCCAGTTTCTCTTGCTTGTCACGGCTTCTGACAAGCGTGTCCGCGGTTCGAAATGCGTGTGCACGTCGAGAATGTATCGTTGGACGAGCATTCGACGACCTAGCTCGCTTGCCTCTTGCTACATCCCGCGTTAGGAAGTAGTAGATCGCTCGCCTTCTGAATAAGATCCAACCATAGAGTACACTACAACCATGGAGTCCCTAGTTCAGTGAGTTACTACTACAGTGCTCCATAGGACACCGCAGAATAGTATCCATGACCAGGTTCCAGCGTTTCTCCTGTCAGTTTTGGTCTGGTGAAGGGTATATAATAGCCTCCTCGCGAAAACCTATCGTGTGGTAACACAACCTTCGCCAACTCCAGCACTAGCCGTTGGGAGGGAGGGGAATTCTCCATCCACGATTGATGGGTGGAAAATCCAAACCAACCAGCCAGACTCACCCCATCCGAGTCGCAAATGGAGGAGGAATTGGGGGAGGAACCGACCAAACCGAAACCCACGGATCCATCTCTGAGGGCGCGGTACACAGCTATTCAAGAGCTGTTCAAGATAGAAATGACGAACAATGCGTTCAGGCAAGTTTGAACCAGGTTCATACAAGGTTGTGAAAACAATCTGGTCAAAATAAACATTTTGGAACATGTTACAAAAGCTGGACAAGACGCGCAAACTTCTTGACCAGCCTAGGTACAACCTACCGTAGTAAACAGGGTAACCCAAAATCAAGTCTTGAACAGCGCTTGCTCTGTATCACGCCCTAAGTCGAACACTGAGTTTTCGTTGCACGATTAATCGCAAGGAACACACAAACCGCGATTCGTCAGAGGACGTATACGCGCATTCGTGAGATTCCATTTTACGTTTGAAGCAGGATGTACTCAGCACCGAGCTTGTGATGTGCCCACCATATCAAACACTAGCATGGTGAATAGTAATAAAGAACAGTGCTTCAAGACAATGCACATATATTCAAGTGGTAAATGCATCAGTGTGATATGACATGCTTGAATACAAATCGTTTCATGACCTATTCATACAAATGATTTCCACACACATTTTATTACCAAGTCCGCATTTGTTTTTAAATATATGCAACCAATTACGGTTTGGCATGAATGATCAATCTTTTAAACCCTTAGTACCCTCCCTTTCCCCCATGCTCTATGTAATGAATCAAAGACCTGACAACAGCTTCCCCAACGTCCCCTCTCATCACCACCTTCCCCTGCCCGTTCGACCCGTAGCAGTGAAAGTGATGATCGCGAGGACACACATCCATAAACCGCGGTGCCTCCACTTGCCAGCTATCAAAATACTCAATATGGGGGACAGAACTGCCTGCGTTTATCTGGTCGACCAGGTTTCTGGTCAGGTGGTTAGCAGCAGAGAGAAAGAGGTTGGTGGCGGGGCCTTCATAAATGCGGCTGGCAATGCTGCAGCTGTCTCCTCCGTTGGGCACTGGCGGTGCCGCTCGCACGATCAACCGAACCCGGCGACTTGTGCTTGTGGCTTCTACCCCTGTGGCTGCTGCCCTTGTGGCGGCGGCGACGGCGGCAACGGCGGCGCTGGTGGTGGTGGTGGTGCTTGTGATGTTACTGCGTAACAGGCGTTCTGCCCTTTCAGCACCACCTGTTGCTGCAGACTGCCTGCTGAGAGCAGCTGCTGAATTCCCCCTAAGGCTGGCCCCGCTTGGTGCTGGAGAGAGGGGGGATGAGAATGCACCTGTTGTCAGGGAGGCTGCTACTGCTGCTGCTGCTGTCGATTGAATGGCAAAATCAGAACTGCTCGGGTCTGAACCAGCAGGAGAAGGATCACCTAGGTTGGTGGCAGTGGCAGCAGCAGCAACAGCAGCGGAGGAGGCTTGGGCGGCAGAAGCAGCGGCGGAGGCGGCTTGGGATTGGGCCCAGGCGAGGTATTCAGGGAGGTGGGTGCTGAGGGCGGAGAGCGGATGCAGACAACGCTTGCCGGCCCAATAGCCACTGTTGATGATGATGACGTCACTTGAGAGGGAGATGTTGGGAAAGGAGTCGTAGTGCTGCGAAAAGGCCCCTCTGTGCCTGTTATGGGTATGGGGATGGGGTTGGGAATGGGTAAGGAGATAAAGGAAATCATGGGAAAGTTATGAGAGAGCTTAAAGGTACTAGATGTTGGGGAAGGAGTCGTAGTGCTGCGAAAAGGCCCCTCTGAGCCTGGAGTGCGGAAGGGGGATGAGGAGAGGGATAAAGGTCATGAGGTGGTTATGCTGTTTCCAAAAGACAAGTCAAAGGTCCTAGACGTTGGGAAAGGGGTCACAGAGCTGCGAGAAGGCCCCTCGATGCCTGTTAGGACCACAGTGGGGGAGGGATGGATTCGGAGGGCAGGGGGGAGGGCGGTGGGAGGGGATGGGGATGAGACGGGATGGGAATGGAACGATGGGAGAGAGGAAGGAGTGTTAGAGCTGGGAGAGTGAAGGGAAGAGGGGCGTGGGCACAAGGGGCACCCGCGTGCAGCCGAACTTGTCGTTGCGGTAGATCCCGTCCACTTTTGAGGGGCCTCAAAAGTGCCATCCACCCAGTAGAAGATGATGCAGAAGGAGCAGAGAAGGGGTAAGGGAAGGAACAGCGGCAGGTGCAAGGGGCACTCACGTACGTGCAGCCGAACTCGTCGTTGCGGTAGATGCCATCCATCCACCCAGGAGAAATCGAACCAGAACGAGCAGAAGAGCAGAGAGCAGAAGAGCAGAGAGCAGAAGAGCAGAGAGCCGAAGAGCAGAGAGCAGAAGAGCAAAGCAAGGAGCGGGTAACGGGAGGGGCACTCACGTGCAGCCGAACTCGTCGTTGCGGTAGATCCCGTCCACCCAGTAGAAATTAATCCTTAGCGTCTCGTTCCTCCCGTTCCGCGCCACAAACGCCAGATCGTGCCGCCCCTTCCTATTCGCCAGGTCGGCCTCGCCCGACAGCATGTAGAACAAGTGGGCGGCAAGCATGCGGTGGTGCGAGTCCCCCGCGATCGAGATCTCTCGGATGCCTCGCCGGGTGAGGGAGGAGATCCACTCACTCACTGGGGTCTCTGGAGGGGCACAGGGGAAAGGTACCCACTTCCAGGTGTCTTTTCTCTTGCTACTCTTGCTGCCCCTGCTGCCGACGCCCCTGCCACTGCCACTGGCATTGGCACTGGCACTGTTAGCATCGCTCTCAGGATTAATCTCAAGCCATCTCCCCATAACTGACCCGCTGCACGGACTACTGCTCCCCTCCGCCGCCTGTTCCTGTTCACCGCCTCTGCTAGTCACCTGCATCGTCTCATCCTCTCCCTCGTTCTCTGCTCTCTTCTCGGATTCCTGTGCTCTCTCTTTTAGAACACGTGGCAGCCCATGAGTGGCCAAGTCTGCTTGAGGTGCATGGGAAGCTAGTACAGAGTTTCCTACTTTCTCCTTTCCGCTGCCTGCCCTGCTGTCGCCAGGAGCAGCGTCTGGAAGCGCCTCAAAAGGTGTCCCAGGAGGGACTAATTCCCCTCCAAGGGTTTGATATTCGAGTGTGGAGTTCCCAACTCGCTCCTCCACACTTGCTGCCTCGCCTCCCACACTCGACTGCCCTGCCATCGCCAGGAGCAGCAGCCGGCGCGAGAAATCCTCGCTATTGTCTGCTTCGTTATGAAATGGCTGGTTATTGGCGGCTGCTTCACTTGAAGAGGTAGGCTGTGTGTTGGCTAGGAGGGGTGTGCTGGGCGGGAGTGTGTGGGATGATGGGAGGATTGTGATGGTCCATGCTGCCACGTCATGAGTGACGTCAGCATAAGAAGGGGAGGAGTAGGAGGAGGAGGAAGAAGAGGAAGATGAGGAAGATGAAGAAGATGAGGGTGTAAGGAGGAGGTTGGAGCATCCTGCATGGAGGGAAGCCCTGCAATGAAGACACGAGAGGTGAGAAATGAATGAGAGTGAAGAGAGAAGAAGATAGACGATGATGCTATGAGGAAAAACGCACGGAAGAAGAAAGGGGTATGAGGCTTGAGAAGGGAGGTGAGAAGGGGTTACATGATAAAAGTGATATTTTGAGACGTCTCAAAAGATCACTTTTAAAAATGCACAGAAGAAGAAAGAGGTATGAGGCTTGAGAAGGGAGGTGAGAGGGGATTGACGTATCCACTGTCATAACTTGTCGAGCACCAACGAAACAACTTATCAGTCAGTATGAAAAGTACTTTTTAGTCGCCATCAGAACAACGTATCAATCGATATCAAATCCACATTTCAACCACTTCCCGAATCAGCTAATCAATCACTCACCGGTACGTCCCCGCATCCCAGGCTCGGTAAGCGACGACGAATCGGGAGCAGGCGGGAGGGTCGGCACAAACAGGGTCGGCGTGGAGCAGTGAAGGGCCGGCGAGGGAGAGAGCGAGCTCACGCTTCCACCAACTCAGCACGGAGGAATTGGCGGGGTAATTGAATGGTGATGCTGTGTCGGTGGTGGCGGTGGTGGCAGTGGTTGTGGTGGCAGGAGGAGCAGCAAGAGCAGTGGCTGTAACTGCAGCAGTGGAAGGAGAGGTGTTGGTGCTGCTGCTATCATTACTGGTCGCGTCAGCAACGGGAGGGAGCGTCCACGTGGCGCCTGGCGATTCGACGCTGATTAAGAACGTGCAGGTGTGGCCTACAGTGCAGGCGGAACAGCTGCTGCCGTATACAAACAGTCCGCCACGCGTTATAGCGGGTTCTGGTGCTGCTTGTAACGGGGACGTTGGCTCTGCCGACGTGGACGTCAAGCAGAGTGGTAGATCCGGAGTCCGGGGAATCCATGAGATTGATGGTCCCACGTCATCATCACTAGATGCCGTGTCATAACCTGCCGCAGCACTGTACAGCTTAACTGCCACGTCAGCATCCAGCACACCAGCAGTTGCGTTCTCAGATATGCCGCTGCTAGCCGCCGGATTTGACGAATCATCCGACGGCTCAGATTTGCGCGTCTCAGACGGAGTCAGAATTAACGGCTGCATCTGTTGCGCGGGCTTTCCCCGCAGTTGTTGCAATCCCGGGGTCGATACTAACGAGACAACGTCTGGCGAGATCTGGTGTGACTGCGACGAGTGTGACTTTGACGGGCGGAAATTTGCGTGAACCGACTCCGCTCTTAGCGAGGATGGAGAGGGAGGGGAGGCTTGCGTATCAGAGGCGGGTGGCCAGGCGAAGAAACTGCACACAGGGGAGGATGAAAAGACAGTAGGAATGGGAAGGGGAAGGAAGAGGGATGGGGGGGGGGGGGGGGGGGGGGGGGGGGAGGGAATGGGAGGACGGGGGGAAAGGGAGGGTAGTAGGTACGGATGGAGGGATTTGAAAAATACCGTGGAGTCAGGGGAAGAATACTGCGCACAAGCGGGAAGTGTCGGGAGAGGCAAGTAGCGACAGAGATGGGGGTCAAGGAGGTTTGCGGCGGGATTAAATTTGGTGGATTAGTGCCTGAGGGTAAGCGAGGATGAGTGTATAGTAGAGATCAAAACGAAAAAAAAGAAAGACGTGCGAGGGGGCTTTAGAACGCTCCTGATGCAGTTGCCAAACGCACAATTCAGCCACTCTTAACCACACTTAGCCACTCTTGTCCATTCCTAACCACTCTTGTCGTACGCATGCATCCATTTCGTGTCTTCGTTCGTGCCTGTGTCCGTACGATTATACGCACAGCCGTACGTACGCGCGAATCTACGCACCTCGGGAGCCCATCCGCGCTGCTCTCAAGTTTCATCTCCTCGAAATCCGCGACGGGCGGTCGGCTGCTCCAATCAACTTGCGACACGTGGCGCCACAACTGCACGGCCACCAGCGCCACTAAGAGGAAGTCGATTAAGAGGTAGTGCCAGCGGCTCCGAACCACGTCCACAGCCAACTCGCGCAGCGCTGCGACGCGCTCGGCGATCAATCTCCGCACGCGCAGTCTACCTTCCCGAACGCCGCGTTTCGCGTCTCGAATATCTCGAGTATCGTCGTCTCGACTATCGTGGTTTAACCTGTCAACCTCCATCTCCCTGACTACTCTTACTACCTCTGTTAACTCTGCCGACTATTCTTTCTGCCCGTTCTACGACCTCTCTTGCAACTAGCTCCTGCCAGTACTTCTTTCCAGAACGCGCGACTGGCGGCGGGGATTTTACGGCTCAATCCTAGCAGCGGGAAGCAAGAACGAGAGAAAAGAGTTCTGCTGGCTCTTGTGGTAAATTGGCCGAACGGATGCTCGCCGAGCGTCGATGTTTCTGACGGTGATGAGGAACTTAACGCGCTTCCTATTATTGTCTAGAGTGATACGGCTTGTTAGAGTTCCAACTTAATTCGTTTCAGACAACTATGGTAAACAATACTCAGTGCGCCTATCTACATTGTTCAGAGAATCATGGTGGGGCAAAATAGTTAACGAGGTAGGCCCCGCGAGGTATATGCACGAACGGTACGGACGAAAGTCGGAGCGGCGTCTGTGTCTTGGAATGCGTGGAAGCATAGCAGAGCTGCGAGGGGGAAAGGCAAGCTTCCAAGTAACATGCATTCATGGCACGGGTGGCACTCACAAGTGCACCCAACGGGACCGCCAGGGCGTTCAGTTAGTGAACTTCTGGTGTGTTGACAATGTTGTGATGGATTGTAGGATGATTGCGCACAGATCACGTCACAATTTGCGACTCAGTCCACAAGTTTATCAGCCCCATTTCTTGTCACACATGCCCCACCTTCAGCGGGCTACTGCATGAAACTCAATTGGAAGCAACCACAAACCAATACAAGCCACCACAAGCTAGCCCAGTTCAATCAATACAGACCCAACTTGACCGACTTGAACCGCGGTTTGAGTCCTTGACCGAAAATCTCCCGATTTCTCATGAGGAAGCGGCACACTTTCGCGCACCGGCGAATTTGGAAATTGGGGCTTGCGCGACGCGGGAGTATGAGCCCGCCATTGTTGTGTTTGTATCCGAGACGCGCTCGTGACTTTGATGGCTGAAGTTGGTAACTTGACGAAAGCTCCTTTTAGGGACAGACACAGAAGGCTACCCCTTTTCGTGAATGCAGTAGGTGTAACAAGGCTTCAACCCCAACGGACGAAAGCGCACGAACAAGCAATTCTGGTGACCCTCATTGACTGAAACTCATTTGTAAACACACCACATCATATGATCAGACCAACAACCACAATCAACTTCAGGAATCGAAGTACATGTAAAACTGATAAACTGCTAGTCTCATTAAGAACAAGACTCTTAACTATATAAAATTGTAAGCACAGTATCAATAAGCAAAATGTACCTCAGTCAACAAAGCTCTTCACAGATGTACAACTTTCCAAGCAGAACATGTACCATTCTCAATAGGCAGCTTACTTGAAGAACCCTTTCCTCTTACCAAAGAACCCCTTGCGTTTGCCATGAAAATGACCTTTGTGCTTGCCATAGTAGCCCTTGTGCTTCCTCCCCTTGTACTTGTGCTTGTGGTGGTGGCCCATATGTACGTGAGCCACATGACCACCTGCATATCAACACACAAAAAGACACTCAGCGGAGTTAAAAGACTCTGAAGACGCACACAAGGGACCGACACATATCTCCCCAAGGCAACACGGAAGAGAAAAATAAGACGTTCAAGGGCATTCCCTTTCTACAACCAGCGGCCATGAAAGGCTGACACTCAAATAACCAAGTGCCAGAAATTCCCCGTGGCTGTTACGAAGGCGAACTAGAAGCGGAGATGTAGCTCGCGATGGCTTATCTTGGCTGCCTTTCCGACTTCTCTCGAGATGCGCTAGGAACTTTCGACAAGATCACTACTTCGCGGCGATTCCTTGATTCGGTGGCAGTGTCACTGAAGTCAACATGTACTGTTAAATTCCAACCCTAACGAGCGCCATTCTCATCTGGAAAATCAGGGAGTCCACTCGACTGTCAAGCTTACCTGGTAGCTGTAGGTCGTTAAACACTCGCGGTGGTGAATCCACGTCTACAACTACATTCCAACCCTAACAGCAACAAGATTCAGTCGCAGTTCCGCGCAATTCACTGCGCAATCCACGGTTTAAACTTTCAGGCTCACCTGGGTAGCCGTGGGGTGCGGGGTACGCAGAAGCAGGCGGATAACCGGCAGGCGGGTATCCTTGAGGGGGGTAACCCTGTGGCGGGTATCCCTGAGGGGGGTAGCCGGCGGGTGGCGGGTAACCCTGTTGAGGATATCCTTGAGGGGGGTAACCGGCAGGTGGAGGGGGGTAACCCTGCTGCGGAGGATAACCGCCTTGCGGTGGAGGGTAACCCTGAGGAGGGTATCCTCCTGGGTAACCCTGCGGAGGCGGATAGCCGTGAGGATACCTCGGATCTGCGGAAACGGAACGCGCGTACACACATCGACGGTAGTAGTTTCAAAAAGCTCTAAGCAAAACTATTATAAACACTAGAATTCAACAAAAAGAAATGCTAAACGAAAGGCGTGCCGGAAAATTGATGGAAGCCAAAGTCGTTTCAAAATATCCATCCGAAAGACATCTGATAACGGCTTCTTACCCGACATGACGCTGGGAGATGCCGGATCAGAAACCAGTTATGACTGCCGCTTTAGCTCAGAACATGAGCCGAATT